CAGAGAACCAGAGAACCAGAGAACCAGAGAACCAGAGAACCAGAGAACTAGAGAACTAAAGAGCGTTGATTCTAATTTTTAAAACTGTTTAGATCAGTGTGTAGGCCAATTAACAACCAACCAATTGAGTTATAATTAGAAAGAGTGGAGTGTAGATTTAGGATCTAATATAATCAAAAATAGCGTGGTACAGGGGTTGCACACTCCATTAAAAGAAAGTTAATATTAACTAAAAATGAAAAGATTTACAGATAAACCGAAGAAACCTGATAGATAGACAGATAGCTAGACAGTTAGCTAGACAGATAGCCAAACACATTCTCAAATGAACACTTCTGGAACATATTCTCAAATGAACACTTCTGGGATCTCGAAAATTATGAATGAATTTTTATTGTCAATTGAAACGTTAATCAATCTAATATTATTTAGAATGCAGAAACTAACTTCATTTTGACGAGATTTTTTTTTGAAATTTTCATGAAAAACTTGCTGAAATGAGTGAAAAAAAACCCGGTGAATTTCCAGGATAAAAATCCGTACAATCCGTACAATTTGAAAAAAAATCCGTACAATCCGTACAATTTTAGGGTTACAAAATAAAAAATCCGTACAATCCGTAAATTTTGGCCACCCTGTACATAAACTTCAACAATGAGGGGCTCTTGGTCTAAATGACATTTTATAGAAGAGGAATAATCTAGCAAGCAAGGCGTTTTTTTCTGCATTTAGTACCACAGAACTCCCACTTTACCAAAGCAGGAATTTCTGTCACATAAATCTTCTCCAAGAAACACTGCAGAGGTTGCCCTGGTATTTAAACCCGACCAGAGGAGTGGTTAAATCTTAACACAGCCTCATCATAATCCTACTCTGTAATATATGAAATGTCCTATCTATGAAATGTCCATCTATGAAATGCCTTTCTATGGAACGACCGAACCTTAGGATATGACAGGAAAACCTTGAGATAAGATTGGAAACCTTGAGGTAAGATTGGAAACTTTGAGATAAGATAGGAAACCTTGAGATAAAATAAGGGACTCAAGAATAAGATTGCAGGGGATCTTGAGATAAGATTGAAACCTTGAGATAAGATTGAGGACTTTGAGATAAGATTGAGGACCTTAAGATAAGATTGGGGACTTAAAGATAAGATTGCAGGGGATCTTGAGATAAGATTGAAAACCTTGAGACATGATTAGGGACTTTTGAGATATGATTGAGGACCTTAAGATAAGATTGGGGACTTAAAGTTAAGATTGCAGGGGATCTTGAGATAAGATTGAAAACCTTGAGACATGATTAGGGACTTTGAGATATGATTGAGGACCTTGAAATAAAATTGAGGACCTTTAGATAAGATAGGGGACCTTGAGATAAGAATGGAAGCCTTAAGATACGATTGGAAACCTTGAAATAATTTTGAAACCTTTGAGATCCTTGAGATAAGATTGGAAGCCTTGAGATAAGATAGGAAATCTTGAGATAAGATAGGAAACCTTGAGATAAGATAGGAAACCTTGAGATAAGATAGGAAACCTTGAGATAAGATAGGAAACCTTGAGATAAGATTGGTAACCTTAAGACAAGATTGGTAGCCTTAAGACAAGATTGGAAACCTTGAGAAAAGAATAACAAAACCACAGGACAGAGATTCAGAAGTCTCAAAGTATAATTACAAATAATTTGACTAATACTTTAAAACTTACTTATGTTGTATAAACAGAGGAATTTTGCTCCGCAGTTCTTTATCCTAAATCAATAAAAGAAATATATTTCCTGAACTTTTTGATGAAATGTGGAGGTTGAAAATTTGATCATGAGTCTAAAAATAAAGAAAGCGCAAAACTTATGTTATAGCTTAAAAGTTCTGAAAAATAATGACGGAGAAAATATGAACCAATCAGATTACGGGAATTAGGGATCGACAGAAATTATGCAATATCAGCTGTTCTGTTTTTTAATTTCAATTTGTTGACGTAACTGTGAAGCGCTAACAAAATATATTTCGGAATAGATACACGATGTATTTATTTATTCTAGATTACGGAAAAGATTTATGAATTAAAATCGTCAGATTAAATCATTTTCATGCATTGAAATATCGCAACATTGAATGCGTTTTTTCGGGTTTAAAATTTAAGACGAGTTAAATATCTAAGCTGTAGCTTAAAATTCAGGTTTAAATTAAGTTGGAAATGGCATTTAAGCTGAAACATAATATTTAAGTCGTAACTTATCATTCTTTAGATTGGGACTTGCATAAGACAATTTTTATCTACGGCTTTCTTAAGAAAGCTTCAATTTAAAGTGACTATGAAAAGTATTTCAGATGGGGGGGGGGGGGTTCTTTTCATTTTGGGAGGTATAAAAACGTAACTCTTAATACCTCTGGTAACTTCATAGGTCCATCTAGGATATATATTTTGCTCTTGGTAACAATCTCTCTTTCACTTTTCTGCAAAATATTTAGTTCAAAACCTTGATGCATAAATAAAACATGGGTAAAATTCATCTAAACCTTAAAAAAAAAGAAAAATAGCGGGATCACGGAAGAATTGCTTTTGAATGGATTTATCTACTGGATTTTTGAAGATTTCAGATAAAACTTAAAAATGGAAGTATACATCTTAAATTTTTTCTTATTTGAAATCAACCCCCATTCACTAAAAAAACCATGTTAGTAGTTTACTTGCATGGTTTCCCACAAAAAGTGAGACTTGGAAGAGTTTAGTTACGTCCCAGAGGCATATATTTTAATAAATGATTTTTGATGCTCTGGCTTTGTGGGAACCCTGTAATGGAAGAAAAACCATATTACCCTAGATAGCACTCTGGAAGTTCCCCATTCTTTGTCGTAGCCTTGAAGAGTTCCACTCAGTATCAACCTTAACATTAAAGGAACTGTACACTGTACAGTGTACATGTAATTTTCGACGACTCTTAATTTATAGAGTGGAATATTCGATTCACAGAGAAACACCAGGAATGCAAAGCTTTGTGTGATCAAGAATGCAAAGCTTTGTGTGATCAAGAATGGAAAGCTTTGTGCGATCAAGAATGCAAAGCTTTGTGTAATAAAGAATGCAAAGCTTTGTGTGATAAAGAATGCAAACCTTTTTGTGATAAAGAATGAAAATCTTTGTGTGATCAAGAATTTAAAGCTTTGTGATCAAGAATGCAAAGCTTTGTGTGAAAGAATGCAAAGCTTTGTGTGATAAAGAATGAAAATCTTTATGTGATAAAGAATGAAAATCTTTGTGTGATCAAGAATGAAAATCTTTGTGTGATCAAGAATTTAAAGCTTTGTGTGAAAGAATGCAAAGCTTTGTGTGAAAGAATGCAAAGCTTTGTGTGATGAAGAATGCAAAGCTTTGTGTGATAAAGAATGCAAAGCTGTGTGATCAAGAATGCAAAGCTTTGTGTGATCAAGAATGCAAATCTTTGTGTGATCAAGAATGCAAAGCTTTGTGTGATAAAGAATGAAAATCTTTGTGTAATCAAGAATGCAAAGCTTTGTGTGATAAAGAATGCAAAGCTTTGTGTGATAAAGAATGCATAGCTTTGTGTGATGAAGAATGAAAATCTTTGTGTGATCAAGATGCAAAGCTTTGTGTGATAAAAGAATGAAAATCTTTGTGTGATGAAGAATGAATATCTTTGTGTGATCAAGAATGCAAAGCTTTGTGCGATCAATTGTGGTTTCTTAATAAAAGGGAGTTGCGCAATTCTACTGGGAAAACAATGAAGGATATTGTCATATTGCAACACTTTTCAAGCTAAAAAACGAAGATTTATTAAACATTATTGAAAATCATTGTGAATCTGCCGTACCTGGCCGTTCCCCTCTCTAAATGGAAGCTAATTTGACATTTTAACTAGTGCTTAGCATATCCGGATCCAAAAATGATGCATAATTACGGATTTGAATCCTTAACATTAAATGTTGCATCACGTTTCTAAAAACGCGAAAAAAGAACATTTTTGAAATTTATTTTTATGACAAAAATTTCGAAACCTTAGAGAAAAAACATGAGCTGATACGATCTGGATTCATTCTTTAAAATGACGGATCCAAGATCCTGATCCGCAAAAAATGAAATTAATATCCATATCCGCATCAAGATGGAATTAACTTCCGGATCCACATCAAGATGGAATTAACTTCCGGATCCGCATCAAGATGGAATTAATATCCGGATCCACATCAAGATGGAATTAATATCCGGATCCGCATCAAGATGGAATTAATATCCGGATCCGCATCAAGATGGAATTATATCCAGATCCGCATCAAGATGGAATTAATATCCGAATCAGCCTTAAGATGGAATTTATCTTAAACTCTACTTTCAATTTACATTTTTGGTTCCAGGTTTCAAAGGTAAAAAGAAAATGAAAAAAATCTTACTTATTTTCACCAAGAACAGGACACCAGTTTTGAAGTTTAACTTCTCTCTGGCTCTAACAGATTTTTTAGTAATACATTTAGAAAAGGTATTAATTAAAAGTTTTATGGTTATCCCTGTATGAATTGTGTATGTACTTGAATTAGTTAAAATTTAGAATTGTGATAATACCTTGAATTAATTATTGTTAGCCTGGAACCAATTCTACCCATTTTCATGAATTTCAAAATAAAAGTTAATAAAGATTTCAGGTCTAGCATTTTCTAAAGATATTATACACTTCACAAAAAATTCTCTCCCCTGAGCCCAAATATACCAAACTTCTGGGGAGTGGGGGAAGATTTTTCAAGAAAATCTACACCACTGTCTGCGCCTCAGCCTTTGTGCATCAACCTTTGATACTAAAAACTATTAAATTTATCAGAACTTATACTTGAAATGTTATAGTTCTATGATTTAGGGTTAGAATTTGAGAAATAGTGGTTCGGGTCCTTTAATTTCTAAAAGAAATAGGACTTAGCTGATAAAAATCAAGTCATTCGTTGATCAACTGATCTGAGTTAACAAGTTTTGTATTGTGAATCTCTGGATAAAGTATTGAACTCAATCTTATACCAAAGGATCAATCAAATTTCTCATTGATATCCCGTGGTGGCCATACTCGGCAAGGGTTAACTTTAATTGTGGAAACAAGCATGTATTCTTTATTTCAAAAGTGTCCACATTGGTTATCAAGATCAAGCGTTCAAAATTAACGATACTCCATACAAAAGGTTCGACCTCAAGGCAAATATTTTATGTTAAAAATCCCATTTAGAATAAATACACATGTGAGACATTTGTTCGACTTCCAAGATTTTTGAGAATTCTCAAGAAACAATTAAAAGAAAAGTAAAGACAGATCAGATACTAAATATAAAACTATTTAACCTGTGTATGAGGAGAAAGAGAGCCTCCTTTGCTAGGAACGGATCGTGACAGGTCAGCCATTTCTAAAAATAAAAAATTCACCCCAACGTTTTAAAGAAGAAATCCGCAAGCCGCTTTAAAAAAAATTGCTAAAAGATAAATTTCATTGAATCCATTTTTTCGGAGTCCATGGCACATTCAAACAATAGAAGCTTTTAAGGACTGCAACGTTGTGAATCGAACATATAAATATGCAGGGTCACTTAAAGTACATATATACTATACAATACATTTAAAACAACAGGAGTGAAAAAATCAATACATCAGAATTCGTCAATGTCAACACCACTCATGAAAGTTAATCCCTTCTATTCCACTCCTTGGATCAGATCTAATCATATATGGAGTACACAGTACTATGGATCATGAACTAGATTCCAACTATTCCACTCCTTGGATCAGATTTGATTATATATAGAGTACACAGTACTATGGATCAAGAACTAGATCCCAACTATTCCACTCCTTGGATCAGATTTGATTATATATAGAGTACACAGTACTATGGATCATGAACTAGATCCCAACTATTCTACTCCTTGAATCAGATCTAATTATATATGGAAAACACAGTACTATGGATCATATACTAGATCCTAACTATTTTACTCCTTTATAGAACAAATCTATGTATATACAGAGAACTCAGGACTATGGATCATGCACAAGATCCCAACTATTCTACTCCTTGGATCAGATTTGATTATATATATATAGAGTACACAGTACTAGATCCCTTCAATTCTACTATTTAGATTAGATTTACAAAGGCTTAAGAAATGCCAGACGCTTTCTTTTACACTGAATTATAAAATCATGTTTTTGGGGGGCCCCGTCAATTTGAGGAAAGTAAAATTCCTCACAAAAAGGGATATTGAACGTAGCAAAATTATTTGCGTTTTCGCAAAATTTTAAATTAATTGTTCAGATCTTTATCTTCAACAAAGTTAATCACGCTTGGTGAAGTAAAAGCAAAAGCCGAACAAAATGAGTTCATAAAAAGGAGTGCGCAAACTCAAGAACTGAACAATTTGGACTGTCCTGCATATTTTTTCAGTACTTTTTTCCCTTTTCAAGTTAACCCCAGAAACATTTTTGAAGAAGAATAATTTGATAACAACCTTGGTTTTTTTTCAGACAATTATCTGAGCACTGAGCAGCACTCAAGAAAATTTTGTTGCATCTGGCATGAAAGTGCCAAGTCCTTTGTTTGTACCTACATCATAAATCCGCAAAACATGATTGAAAATGCTGAATGGTTTTTTTCTGGGTCATCTTGAATAATTTTATATTTAGCATCTAGGCATGGTTTCAGGGCATGCAATTAGGGTCAGATGAGTCAAGGTATCTAACACCTTATCAATCTTACCTATATATGTAGGTAGTGGATAGAGTAGCTGACTGAAGAATAAAGATCTATAAACATAACAAATTATGAGGATACAGTTAACATGTAATAACAATTCATCATCACAGCAATAACAATGTATTGAAAATAAATAACAAATATCAACGCTTCAGATTAAATCAGAGCCGAGAATTTTAATCCGCTGAATTTTAAGTTTAGTTTTACGAACTGAGAAGTTCAGTTCCTACAGATAAAGCTTCAGGCTCAAGTCAACAAAGCCTCTGCAAGGCATTTTATTTATTAATGCTATTTAAAAAATTTACAGAAAAAAAATGTTTAACAATAAATTGGACGCGTTGCTTTAGATTGACATTTTAATCGGTAAGCTCAGGGAAGAAATAACATACTTACAGAAAATAATAGTTTTCGTGATTTTACAACATTTGCATCAATTTTACAGGAATGCAGGATACAATAACGTACACAGAACCACATGGTGCAGTACAATAGAGTACACAGAACTACGTGGTGTAGTGCAAAAGTGTACACAGAACCGCATGGTGTAGTGTACAACATGTACACAGAACCACATGGTGCAGTTCAATAGAGTACACAGAACCAACTGGTGTAGTACAATGGAGTACACAGAACCACATGTGTAGTACAATAGGGTACACAAAACCACATGGTATAGTACAATAGAGTACACAGAACCACAGGATATAGTGTACTACAAAGTACACACAACCACATGGTGCAGTACAATAGAATAAACAGAACCACAGGATTTAGTGTACAACATAGTACACAGAAAAACATGGTGGGGTTGGAGTACACAGAATCACATAAACTCAAGTACATTTAGCGTACAATCAAAATGTACAGCAAACTACAGTACAATGCAAACAGAGGCTAAGTCGTATATTATATTTGTATAAGAAGCACCCAACGAATAAGGCCCCGACAGCGGGAACGGATGGAGACGAACCCATTCTTCAGTTTAAATATTAGTGAATCATCAAATATCACTGAAAAATTGTCTACTGTCCACCAATATCCTTTTATTGCGTTCGAGGCCGAATTCATAGATTGTCGAAAACATTTAAAGTTCCAGTCGAAAAAAATTCAGGCCGGCATTTCAGAAACGACGTTAATTTTTACTATTTGCGTAATTTTTTTTCCAAGAAATTAAAAATATTTCGTCAATTTAATTTTTTGATATTCTATTCAGTACAAATTAACGCTATGCAAACAATTAAGTTGAATCATCAGGTTTAACAAATTTAACAATCGGATACAATTTAATAGTTCTAAATAATACGAAACCTTTTCAAGCTAGAAAACACTCTTTTACAAAAGCTAACGGCCAATGCTCCCATACAAAAAGCTCGAAAATTTATACAAATAGAGGAAGAGATTTCATATATTATTTCCCGGTTGATCGGGTTATGCTTTGCAAGTCGTGTTTAACACTAAATATTGTGGTACATCGTCCTTAGTTTGATGATAGTAAAAGGAACTAAGGGGTTTAATGATTCTGCTGACGGCAGGAATCCTGAGTTATATCTTTCTTAATACATAACCGGACAGTGAGCTATAATCGGGGTATAAGTGGCTCTTAAGAAAAAAAATATCAGGCGGGCAGAAGGTTGCCCTCCCAACCTTTATTAATATCACAGAATTGAGTTGCGAACTAAAAGTGCGAGGTTCACGAACTAAAATATAATCCTATGCCGCGAGTTTAATTTTAAAAATTAAAAAGCTAAAACTAAGTTGAAAATTGGTTTAATAAATCACAGATATTAGTAAAAATTTAACTATTGTTTGGCCATTTCTAAACTATGGTTTGGTAAATTTGCTATAATTAAGAATATGTTCTTCTACAAGGTATTTACTATGGAATAGATAGGAATGGACGTTGGTAATTTGTAACTATGGACGAGACAAGTATTAAGCACCGCCTCAGTTGAAATGATTGAAATCTATGATTTAAACAACGAAAATAAATATAACACGGTTCAATTCAATAATTTAAAATCCCGGAATTTTTATGCTATCTTTTGGTCCCTTTTCGGGGTTAAATAGCGGCATAGCAGGCGAGAACAATTATTTTTCTACGCGGCTACTGGGACATGGAGAGCAGGGTTCTACGCGGCGTGTCAATAAGGATCATGCGTTCTTAAGCTCCACATCTTGTTCTCCTTCTGACTGAGTTCGGTGTCGTCGTCGCTCAGTGTGGGGAGGACGGTTGGGTACAGAGCCGGCCCGATGACGGAACCAGCCTTCTAGCCGCGAAGCAACCTGAATATAAAAAATTGTCAAATTTTATCTGGCAACCCTTGCAAATATATCTGTAATGATTTTGTTTTCCAAGAAGTTTGAAACAGATAAAGGGAGACAGTACTTTTATTAATTCATTTACATTGGGGTTAATAAAGTCTTATTTTTTTTTAAGCAATCCGATTGAAATAATGTCCCGTTGCAAATTTTCGATTTGATTGCTCAAATCTTGAATGGTCTTTGTGAATATATCGATTCGAAATTTACTTTCATTATCAAACCACAACTTTTCTTTTATGAGTTATATCGTTCATAGTACAATATGACATAAAGAATTTGTGGTATAAAGTTGGGGGAGGAAATATGTTTTTGACAAATGTCTAGTTGAATTCGAAATATTTTAATCATCAGTATCAGTTTTTAATAATATTTCCACAAATTTGATGAAGTTGATTAAAATCTAAAACCTTATGTCCAAAATACTAGTTCATAAAGGTGGATTGATGTACATATAAACTTACTGTAGGACTACCAGAGTGTATACTGGGAGGTGTTCGACCGAACGGAGAAATATTGCTCCGGGAACTACTCTTAGAGCTGGGGATATCAATGTGTCGTCCCCATTTTCTAACCTCGCCTCGCGGGGGCCGAGATGTAACCTGAAATCAATGAACAGTTAAAGAAATTACCAGCGTAGTTTACTATCATACAAGAAAAACTTCGTCCTGCATAAACTAATCTTACGCAATTTATGAACTTTATCTACTTCAAGAACTGAATGTATTTTAAACGTTATGTACTATAGGATACACGTTATTTACTAAATGAACGTTGTATACTTACAACTTACATGCCCTTTATGAGCTTGTTGTTCGCGCTAAACTAAAGGTAAATATTGAACTCGTTCATCTTTTCAAAAATGAACACTGAACAGCCTTAAACAGCATCAATTCCTGAAAGCAACTGTTTCTACAATAAATGGTCGCGATGTGTGCGAGTCGAACCTATGTGAGAGGAAGGGGGGGGGGTAAAGGGGTGGCAGAGAGAAAGGAGAAGGACCAGGGACGAAGGAAGACAGTAAGGGGGCAGTAGAGGTAAAAATGGGCGTTTGGAGAAAAGTTTGAAGGAAGGTTGTGTAGGTGTACCTTATCATCCTCCTCATCTCTAAGGAAGCTCTGAACTCTCTCCAATCTATCCATATCTGTAAACCTGGAACCAGAGGAGGGAGTTCCTGATATAGCTGAACTAGAGGAAGCAGGGGAAACTCTGATAAACAAATAAAATATTAATTTCATTTTTCATCTTCTAAAGGTTGCNTTCAATTTGTGAATAAACCAATAATTCATTCACTCGTGGTGAGAGATTTTACTTCATATGGATTTTCATATCTCTTATTTGAGGTAAATAAATTTTTAACTACGAAATACTTATTTTTCCCCCCAAAATTAATTCATTAAAAATTATACTTTTAACCCTTGTATCATTAATATTCACTATAAAAATCTTCCAGAAAAACAAAATACTAAAACAGATCTTTTGTTTACTCTAATATTATTACCTAGATATAGTTCTAGGCGTGGATCCAGTATGGGGTCGGGGATAGGTCACCGCCATATAGTCCTCCGTTCCGCTCACCGGAGACCGACCGGCGTGCTCAGTAAAATCATCGGAGAAATCTGCATCTTCATTTACCCTCCAACCCCACATACTATCACTTTCATCTAGACAGCTGGAGTTTCGTTGACTGTCTGGATATCGGCGGGAACGGCGAGAGACGGGAGATGAATGGCGGGGAGAGATCTGCCATCGTCCACCTAATATTAAATTTGAAGTAAAAAAACCCACTTTTTTCTCTCTAAACCAGTAAATAAAAAAGAATGAAATTTCGTGGAACTTGTAAACTTAAGAAAATTATGTTCATGAACTGTATGCACCGTATGCACCGTATGCACTGTGTGAACTGTGTGCACCGTATGCACTGCGTGAACTGTATGCACTGTGTGAACTGCATACACTGGATGAACTGGATGAACTGTGTGAACTGCGTGAACTGCGTGAACTGCGTAAACTGCGTAAACTACGTGAACTGTGTGAACTGTGTGAACTGTGTGAACTGTGTGAACTGTGTGAACTGTGTGAACTGTGTGAACTGTGTGAACTGTGTGAACTGAGTGAACTGAGATAACTAAATAACTAAATGAGCTGAATGAACTGTATGAACTGTGTGAACTGTATGAACTGTGTGAACTGTATTAACTGTATTAACTGTATGAACTGTATGAATATACACAACTTGTGTACAGAATTGTCTTTTATTAACTGTGTTTACTTGATTATATCTATTTACTGTAACAAATCCATGTATTCTATAAACTCTTCGCAGTAAATCCATAAAATTTAATTGCATACAAATAATATTTTAACATTTCTCAAGAGATAATAAAACTGCTAATAAAATGACTGTACCATGACAAATTTTGCAATGATGATTTAAGAATATGCAATGTTCACTATGAAATCTATGAATGGAATATATTCAATAATACACTCTAATAAGTATAAACCTCGTACTCTATGAACTCCATGAACAAAATGCATATTATCACCCTCTGAACTCAATGACCTTGATCAACGCATTGAGTGCGCTGTATGAACCCTATGAAAAAAGTGTATGCAATGTACCCTTTGAACACATTAATATTGATAAACTTATTAAGTAAACTCTATGATCTCAATAAACAAAATGTAAAAATTAAATGTGTTCAATAAACTTTATCATTATCATTATCATTATCATTATCATTATCATTATCATTATCATTATCATTATCATTATCATTATCATTATCATTATCATTATCATTATCATTAACGATCAAACTTCAGACAAAGCATCATGACCTATAAAGCTATAGAGTATAGACGTATTGAGTGTAATCTATGAACGCTATGAAGAAAATGCATGAACTCATTAACAATGACACGTATGGAGTGTACAGTATGAACTCGGATGAACAAAATGCATGTAATCAATGTACTCGTTGAACTCCATACACTTTATTGAGTGTTCTGAATACTGACCTAAGGATTCCTCTAGTGCAGCAAGAGAGGCGGGTTCTTCATGAATATACTCTTCAGGATTTAATGATACTCCCGGAGACATAATAACATACCCCGCCTCCCCACTTGGTATACGCTTCTTCCCACCCTCAGGGGGCGTTAACACCGTGAGTGGGTATGACTCCACCCCCGGGATAGGACGTGGTGTTGATGTTGCTCCTTCTAACACTGGTAAACTACGGGGGGATGGAAGGGAAGGACGGTGAGGGGTCTGAGATGAACTACGAGGAGATCTATCCATGGATGGAATAAGGGAGGGAACAAGAGTCTGTGTTGATATTGATTTCGGGGGAGTAGATTGAGAGATCTGAAAAAGATATCATTTTATTAAGATGTAAAAGAGTTTCTATGCCATAAATGACATCATTTTAATTCCACGTATTTATGTTTCAAGATATTCTAGTCACCTAATATTTCATTTTTAAAGTAACTGAATACTCGACTCAAATCTAATTGGCTGTTCTCTTTTTCTTGGCAATCTAATGGTGTAAACATTTTAATGATTCAACCTTGCCCTGATTGATTAAAATATTCGAGTCGAGTCCAACAATATTTTCAGTTCCTCCGTTAAAAAATCTGAGAATTAACTAACTAACCTGAAGAATACTATCCATAGGAAGATAGTCAGGAGACATGACTGGCGGTGAGGCAACTCCCCCACTCATGGCATGGTAGTCACTTTAATCAAAATATTCATTAGAAAATAAGAATAGAGAACCAGAAAAACAAAAGGATTTAACTATTAATAATGCAATTAATCGATTTATCATTGAAGAATTTAACAAAATTTAATTATTAACATGAACGTTATATCATCCTTTTTGATATTTTTCTCCCAAAAAATCAGTTAGTTCTCTTTTAAATAATTTATTTTCACCAATTCAGCGAAAAAACCCCAGATATTTTTTTGGCCGCTCTGCACAAACATTCCTTACTTTCTAAAGAGGGGGGGGATCATTCAACGAAAAATATACACCCCTGAGTACATAAAATGTGATGCATCTCTGAATAAATTGATTGAATTACCTGGCTAAGGAACTTGTTTTTTGCTGTTCTTCTGAACCCTGATCAGCGTTTTTAGGAGAATATCCTGAATCAAACATTAAATCAAAAATAATTAAGAACTGAAAAACCTAAGCATTTTTTGTTTTTTAATTAAGTTTGAAAAATCATGAAGATTAATTAAAATATTGAAATGGGATTTGTTTGGTTCTTTTCCTGGACCAAAAAATTAATCTTTGAACAAATATTCATATGCTATTTAAATGCAAATAAGTATTCTTAAGTATTACAAGACAATAAAATTACCGAAAGGTAACGACGTGGAGAGATGAAATTCTGAATTTCTAGCGGGCAATGGTGGCGGAACACCCATGGACATGTAATCTAAAACGGATAAATTTTAGGGTTTTTTTCAAATTTTTATTTTAGACCCTTAAAGGGGCTGTAAGCGTAATTTTATGTGACCCTCAATGAAAAGAAGGTACCCGACATCTTTATCTTATCGATAATGTGGAAGATATGGTCGTTTTTATAAATGTTAGTGTTTAATTTTGATCATTTCTTTATGTTTTCCTGCAATAGTAATGCGCATGTCAAATTTAAAAGGAACCCACCATTGAAGAAAATTTTTAACATTGAAATCTAATTCATATTTAATCAGAAACAGTTTTTAAGGGTCAATTGAAATTATTTAAGAAAAATTTACGAAAAACCTAAGCGTTTGCTTTAAGTCATAGGTCAAAACTTTCTGGTTAATCCAGCAATTCGGTCAAAATAATTTATACATGGCAACGATCAATTATAAGCTTTTAAAAATTGTGAGCCTAGAGCAGAATACCGACCTGGCAAAGAAGGTTGTTTCTGATGGAGTACATTAAACCTCTGTTTTCTAGGAAGAGAACTACTCCCATCTCTCTCATCTACTCCCACTCCTCGATACTCACGTTTAAACTCGATGCTTACTTCACCTAGACAACAATATTTTAGCAGATTTATTTTAAACAATTTACTTTTATCTGCTTTTTATGAAGATTGGTTTCCTCCTTCTTTTGAAAAATATCTTTACGGGGTGCGGAAATAAATTAATTTTTACCAGGAAATAAATGATTTTTTTTGGCACATTATCTGTATAGTGTATGTATATATACTTTGCTTGTTTGTTTGTATCCAATTAACTTAAAAAAGACAACCAATTTCTTTGTGGGACCTAACGTGACCCCAGGGAAGGTTTATGGATGATAAAATTTAAAATTCGATTTTGAAAGTTTTTGAAATCCACTTTTTTTAAAGGTTTCTTCAATAACCTAACCCATTTGTGAAATCCCAACCATTGCTAAAACACGGGTTTCGAAAAAAATTGACGAAATATTCCGTTATCAAGTTTTTCTAATGAACGTGAATTAAAAAAAAAATGTTAAACCACTACTGGGTCTAGTATTAGATTTCTAGAGTTGAACCTACCACTGGATTCCTCTGGAATAACCTCTGGAGCGTATGAGGTGTGCGGATCGAAATCTCCATTAAAGGTTGGGTCATATATAGAGTTAGAACTACCCGTTCCATCGTCAGATAGTCCTGCAAACATATATGGATAATTCATATTTTTTTACAGACCGATTGATTTAATTATTACACAAATATTCTTTAAAAAATTTATTGTCAGGATTTATTTGGCAATTTGCTGCAAATTCAAGCAACATTTTGTTTATTTTAGTTCATTTTGTTTAATAGATTCTCGCCTCCAACCCAGATTTAATAATCACTAAACCTTTGCAATGTACATTATGGTGTAAACTTTAAATAATATATTTAGCAGAATGTTGAGTAAATTCTAAGTGAGGATGCAATGATAGAAAGGACAGAAAATAAACGTTTTGTGGGGATAAATCGTTCAGAATAATCTCTTTGATTTATTTTAAAATTTAGTTAATTTAACAGAAATTTCTCTATTGTAACAATTTCAAGTGAGAATACTACGGATCCAGATCCGGAATCTATGTCTGCAAAACATAGAAATGGATAAAAATTGTGAACGAGGATAATACCTGCAGACACACTTCCTACAGGAGAGGTTGGCGAGAGTATCCCGGGGGAATACCGCATACTCATTGGGCGTGGTCTAGAGGAGGAACCTGGGTCAGGGGTGGTGTGTCCAGGTTTCCCCGCCTCTCCCACTGGTTCCGAGATGGTTCTATTCCTAGCTAGACTATCCTTGTCCCTGTACTGTTTACCGGAGGGAGGATGCGGAGCACCCCGCGATTTGGATCCTCTGCAAATATATATTCTGTAAGAAATGCTTTTTTATATTCCACGAGAAACGTCGGGCATTTTAGCAAAAGTCATGATTTAATACCATGCGCGGGTAATCGGCGTGAGTAGCTATGACTATGAATAAAAATATAATCCCGGGACCTTCAACTAGTTATATATAAAGAATAATTAAATAATAATCAAAAGAACTGATTACTACCTAAAATATTTATAGCTTTTCAACCTAATGGTGTTGGCCTTTAAAATCTACGACGTCAGGGTTGCAATGCAAGGATATATGGAAATATATATATATATAAAACGATATAAGGATAAAAAGAGTTGGAGTCAAGTAATCAGTTCCTTTTTTCTATAATGCTGGCTTGCCATGAAGAAATAGAACTATTACAAGAAACTTAAATTTGATCATATTTCGGTTTATTAAGATACTTATTGTCAATTTTAACAACGAAAACAAAACCGGGGTATCACTAAAATTAAAACATCTCTACGAAGATAACTTAATGAAAATTGTTATGATTACATAATATAAAATAATGTTACCTATCCTGGCTGAAACTTGAGCTCCGATATCTCTGGTTTATTCCAAGAATATCCTGAAGAAACACAAAATTTAGTTTTCAGATATAAAAAGTCCTAGAAAACCCCTTAACTAAATTATCCGCATGTAACCTAATTAACTAATAGCTTCATCACAGATCTCAGTAAAACTTATTGCTAAGCAGGGACAAAAATATTTCAGTCATTTGTTTGAAAAACTTGAACATTTAACGTCTAAATTTTAAAGGTTTATAAAAAAATACTTGAATTTTGGAAAAAGTGAACTTAAATCAATTCCCCCCCCCCCCAGTAATTCATAAGATTTTACGACAAATTAATTCACTGAAAAAAAGTAATTATCCAGAAAATAAAATCTTCCGAAAAATATTACTTGACAAAATTTCTACAAAAATCATACTTACACTTGAAGCTGATTAAGTGCAAATTTTGTATTCAATATTATTATTTATTTATTTGATAACTTAAAAAAAGCACCAAAAGTTAAAAAAAAAAATTCAAAAAATGTATTTATTTACCTTATGGTTTGCTCCAATCATTGCTTTTCTAAGTATTTCATGAAGCTGGGATACACATTCTTTCTCCTCTGATTCCAGGGAGAGCAATCCAGATCCTGCAATGATTACAGTAATAATAATAATAATAATAATATTTTAACAACTTAAGTATGGACATATAATGCAACAAGACAATCGGAAACCTTTAATGTGCTAGCCCAAACTAAATGTTCATCGTATATGCTTGTGAACCCGATTCACACACAAAAAAACATGTTTTATGTAAGCGTAATCTGTACATCCTTAAATTATTGCAAACCTATGTAAGCGTTATCTGTAAATCCTTAAATTATTGCAAACCTGATAAACTAACAAACAAACATGTCCTATGTAAGCATCCTTAAATTATTGCAAACCTATGTAAGCGTGATCTCATCTTTAAATTATTGCAAACCTGATAAACTAACAAACAAACATATTAAGAATACATCAAGATTGTTTTGATCTCGTCGAATTTCCATTATTACATTTTATTCCTTATAAAATGATCATATTAGTTCAAAAATACATCAAGATTATTTTTTAAGTCTCTAAATCCCTGAATTATTGTAAACTAACCTATCGGTGATGTTCTACCGAGCTCTAGTCCGAGAACCTTTAGTTTATCATTGTACATAATATTCCTGATACAGGGGTGTGGCAGCTCGACACACCTCTCCTCACCCAGCGGATATAACAGGGCGTACTCAGGAGTTACACACAATCTAAAATAAAATGTGAAGTTAAAATAAAACCATAAATAATACTCGAACCACAAACTTTTTTAAAATATATTTTTTAAAAAAATTAACGTTTAAATTCGTCTTTGGTTGTATCAAAGTCCCGTGAAATGAAAATGGCCAGGAAGAAAATTTTAAACATAAAGGCTTAAAAAGTTTGTGAACTTTCGTATTAGAAAATTAAGGAAAAACTGAATTGAAAATCTGCTTTTAGTATTACACCGTGATCTTTATCAGCTTGAAACTATTCCATTCATGTTCTTTATAAACTCTTGAAGGGACTGTTCAATGTTATTTTAAAAGACCCTTCATTTATAAAGTGGCATGCTTAATACCCTTTAAGCAGTGCTTAGGATCCACTTAATTTTGATGCGGATTCGGATCCGGATCCTGGATCCGCACTGGAAAAAAATCCGGATTCGGATCGAGGTCATTTCTTTAAGATTTACTGATTTTTTTAACAAAAAATAATTTTTTTTTTTTTCGCATATTTCTATCCTAAAACTTTATGAACCATGAAATTTTTATAATCTCTCTTTTTTTTCAAAAGTTCAGATTTTGGTTTTAGGAGTAAAAGTTTTTTTTGCAGTTTTTGGTTGATATTTTACCCCCTGGATCCGGATCTGGATCCAGGAAGCCAAAATCTTGCGGATCCAACGGATCCGGATCCTAAGCACTGCCTTTAAGCCTTAATCTGAGTAACACTGAGCAAGATATCGTCTACCGAAGGTATAATTTATCTTAATTTCCTTTCTCGACCATTCTGCACAACCCCCCACGTTATATAAAACCGGATATAAAAGATTTAAAATTCGGTGATGGTGAATGGTGATTTACAAAACCTCTGTAGAGTAAAAAAAGTAGATGTTAGTTTCACATTTATTGAAAATATATTTAGGTCTGGGTTGAGCATTTTTGATCAACGGGCTTGCAAAACTCTTAAATTAAGGGCGGAGATTCACTTCAAACTACGTAGACAGTCTCTTTAAGAGATTGCATATTTGAGCTAGGATCGGAATCCGGGGTAGCAATGTTCAGTTAAAATGAATGGACTGCTGATCAGGAAAATAGGAAACAAAACATTTTCTAGAACGGAATTTCGCACCGGGAAATTGAGGACACATATTCGGGGGCAAATACAAATGTCAAGAACTATTAAAGGGATTAAAATAGAGCTTAAAGAGACAAGACGTAATTTAAAGCTAATTTCCGTTTATTGATTTACAAGTCCGATTTAGAACGGTAAACCATCATTATATCATTATTTTCATGCTCAAATTTACACCATCTAAAGAATGGAGTTTCACTTTGAAATGAGTCTACTGCTTTTTATGAAGGGTTTAAACATGTTATTTCCGTTTTTATGAATGGTTTAAACATGTTATTTCCATTTTTATGAATGGTTTAAACATGTTATTTCCGTTTTTATGAATGGTTTGAACATGTTATTTCCGTTTTTATGAATGGTTTAAGCATGTTATTTCCGTTTTTATGAAGGGTTTAAACATGCTATTTCCGTTTAATGAATGGTTTGAACATGTTATTTCCGTTTTTATGAATGGTTTAAACATGTTATTTCCGTTTTATGAATGGGTTGTTATTTCCGTTTTTATGAATGGTTTAAACATGTTATTTCCGTTTTTATGAATGGTTTAAACATGTTATTTCCGTTTTAACATGTTATTTCCGTTTTTTATGAATGGTTTGAACATGTTATTTCCGTTTTTAAGAATGGTCTAAACATGTTATTTCCGTTTTTTATGAATGGTCTAAACAAGTTATTTCCGTTCCAGTCCTTAAACAATAAACATGATCTCAGTAACATAAAAATCTTTGTATTTATTTTGGGTTTTTTCATGGAAATCAAAATTATGAAAACAGAATAGTTTATGTTTGGGTAGATCACATCAAAAAAAAACGATGAAGCCCATTATTGTCTGAAATGAATTTATGGGGTTGAAAATGTAATTTTCAGTGAACCAACACCCGATTCACAATTAACCTATAACTGACTGTGAAGAAGTTATCGTCGATTTTCTTTCTTAAATCGCGTGGAATTCCAATTTTCCCAAAAATGAATAAGGTTCTTTTAATTCATCCTTAATAAAACAAAGGTTTCAATGTCACTACACTTATCAAGGATTACTTGAAATTACGTATCCAGTCCCTTTAAACATATTTTGAGTAAAATACCTGAAAGGACCGTTCCAATGGTGAGCGGAGGAATCATTCCCATCATCAGGCTTAAACCCTTTTACATTAACCTGAATATAAATATATAATTATTAATTAAACCCTTTTACATTAACCTGAATATAAATATATAATTATTAATTAAACCCTTTTACATTAATTAACCTTAATATAAATATGTAATTTTTAATTCATCCCGAATACAAAATATTTGTGTACTCTACTCAATGAATATAATGTTTTCTCAGTATCCAAGTTAACGTTGATGAAAAGGGATGTGGGACTAAAAATATACTAAAGAAGAACTTAACCAGCCATACCTAGTTTTACTACTTTTCAATCATCAATAATTCAGTTCACTCAAAATTCAGAAGCCTATCTAATTTCTTGGTTAATGGTTTTCTTGTTGTAATATAAGCCTGTTTTATAACTTTGCCACAATATTTATTACAAGATTGAAAATAATGCTGCAGACTAATTAATATTTTTATTTTTATTTTTAGTGAGTATAATTGAACCAATTTTCGCAGAAAAATAACAACATTTTATAATTAGTGAATGATGTTAATACAGTATTCGTGAACACAAAAAGATCCAAAACAACATGTTTCTGTTAAAAAACTGTTTTTTATTTGTTTTTCTTCTAACAAATCAATGCTGGTTTCTTAGCTTTCGTGTTAAATAATTAAAAAACGTGACAAGAAAAGTTTCCCCTTTAACACATTTATTCCCAAAAAATCAGTTGGATTTCGGGGGAAAATGAAAAATTGAACATCAACTGACACTTCTCCCCCTCCCCATCCGGCCCTTTCAAATATCTCTAAAATATTTAAATTTTTTAAGAAGGGAATTGACTTCAAGAAAGAAACTTTATAGTATATACCCCTGGTCCTATACCTGCCAAATGATGTCAAAATTAGGTTTTGGTTTCTTCCCGTAGAAGTTGGCCGACTTCCCGTGTTGTAAAACCAGCATCGTCTCCAACCAATCATTCAACTCTTCCTCCTTATCATCAAACCCTATCTGGACACAGTCGTCCAGGGTATACATATTCAAGGACATCATCTTCCGCCCGTTTTTATCCAGATAGTCCTGCTTTCGGTTAATATTGAAACAGGTTTCTAGGACTATTTCACGTTTCGGCGGTAGCCGTTGTAAGTGCTTTTTCTCACTATCATAATAAACTATTTTGGCAGGACTGCTCGTGCTCCGGTCGTAGAGCACAAAGAATTTTTTCGAGAACTGGCTCGTTTTCTTGATTTTTTTCAGCATAGCACATTTTAGGATTTTGGATTCGTCTTTTGCTTTCACGCCAGAGCCTTCGGTATCCTGAAACAATTACATCTTTAGTTTAAAATATAATTGGGGTCAAAATTAACCAAACCACTGCTTGAAAAACATTATGTGTAAAAAGGTTGTTTACCTGGTTCTTAGATTGTTTATCCGTAGAACCAAGAAGAGAGGACAATGATATCTTTTTATCTGTCCAAGACATGATTTTCAAGTTACTTCGAAACACATTTTTACATAATTTTCTCTGTATATAAAAGAATAATGATTAGATTAAAATGGATAAATTTGATAACTTGGGCTGATTGCATATCATTGAGCCATAACATTCACAACGATAGTTCATTACTCACAGTCGAGCATGATGAAATTGCGCATTTACAATTGCGTTCAATTTCCCGGATTTGAATAAGATCAAATTCCGGATTTTCTGTAAGTTATACACTTAACATTCTTTGATAACAACACATAAATTTCAATAATTTGGTGACGCACAAGTTTTTGTTTGCACTTTTAACAAGTTGTTGTGTTTTGCAAAACTGGTTTGGGTAGTCACGTTGTGAACAGGCGTAGTATGATGGGAAAATGCGTCGTAGAATATGTTTACAGTCTTCGCACTGTAAATTCAGAAAAGGAAAGTCCAGGGATCAAAGTACAGCGAAGAAAAATTTCTGTTTAAAAAATGAATTTTAACGAATCAATTTAAACAGGGCTTTAAAATTGAATATATAGATTGATCATCAGTGTTGCAAAATGTCTTTCAATAGTTAAAATGGCAATCATTATTGATAAAATGGAATATTTCCGCGAATTTTTTATCCTAAATTTTATAATTGACTTAGGTGCTATATAAAAATATATGTCTCTTATAAAAATTATTGTAAAAAAAAATATCTAGAAAAGAATTCCCATTTTATTTGATCCAGCTTAATACCTAATTTACAGTGCGTATTAAGACTTTGCGCCACCATGCGGTGGAATTTAAAAGCATGGCACGACCTCGGGATAACTGCGCCAAGGCTGGAACTCTAGTTCCAACCCCAGATTCATGCACCAACTGTTAGCTTTTGTAACCCGACTAAATATTAAGAAAAATTAACCATTAGGTCGGTTTACTAGTGGAGTGTACTCTATGCCTACGGCCAATATTTTCGCAACTTACAGACCTTTCTGCGGGTTACAGATTCATGTTCGTGGAAAAACTGTGAACGACCAAGTTTCTGAATGTGGGTTTAAATATGGACTTCCGGAATATAATTATAGTTATACGTTTACAGAAAGCAGCTTGCCTTAAGGATCTTACAAACTCAAAGATGTTCCTATAAAGGATCCCTAAAGTAATGATTGCTTATTTTTCTAGTTTCCGTCATGCAGCAGGCTTCAAAATTATATACATTGAAAAACGTTTGTAGGGTCTAAGGGGTGACAAATAAAGGAACATGATGGGTCAAATAAAATATTATTTAGACTTTATATTTAACTTAAAATTCATACTGAAACATTTCATTACAGAGATCTATAAGCTTAATTTACAAGCATGGAAGGTTTTTCGTCACTGAAGAAATATTACATATATTATATATATATTTCCAACTGTTTTTCTTGATGAGAAGAGGGTTGCAGAGCAACGTCATGACCCCGAAATTGCCTCCATGCCCCATGATTTGCTGAATGATCTCTTAGCCTCGTGAAACCTTCTCCAAGCGCCTCTAAAGGTCGTTCAAAAGTTTCGAGAATTTCTCGAGAAAGTGAACAAATTCTCTAGAATTTCTCTTGAATTTCCCCAAAATTGTTTATTGGGTATGATTCCATTTACAGGGTCCACTGCTGATCCCCGCAATTGCTGTTGTTATTATTTGCACTAACGATGCCAGTAATAAGTATTACAGGGTTACCCACGGCCACAGACGATAAGACTTCAGAGACGACTGTTCAAAATTTACACTGTCTATTTTCATTTTTTTCTGCAACTGTAAACTTGTTTCACTTTTTGTAAAATCATTGTTATGTTCAAGGAAAATCAATTCAATCAGATCAATGAGTTTCAGGTTGTCTTTGCAGTTTCATCCTTTGTGAGTAACCCAGTGCATATCCTCAAAGAAACCCACAATAGTTTAAAAAATAGTGTAATGCATAAATTTCAAAATAATAATAAATTCAATTGATCAAAACTTTTTTCTTGTGAAAGCTGGCTGGTAATGCGCATGCATTAGACAAGATTTACTATTAGCAACACCTTTTAACTTTTTCAATTTATGCACAAATTCAATTTCTCAATTTATGCACAAATTCAAGTGTACTTTACAAAAGCTTGAACATTTCTGGTGTAGTTTGATTCATATATACGATACACCTAAAGTGAAGTTATAAAATTTGTCCATCTTTATACTATATTAATGCAAGTCTTTCAAATGAAAATCGCTCGATTAGATAATTCTCAATTAATAGACTGTTTGATACAATTGTTTATGTTTCATAAAAACCTATCATATTGAAATTTTTCTAAAACAATGTTCTTGCTAGCTGAATATAAAAACCAAATAAATTTCTTATTGTAAAATAGAATGAGGGACATGGAGACAAAATTGCTTCATAGTGCATAGGTTCAAGAGACATTTTTTCAGGCTCATATATGGTTTTACAGGGGCTGCAGAGGCCATCTTGCATGGATTGTGGTAGCTTTGCCTTCCCCTCCATTGATTGGCATATATCTCAGGGTTTCTGCAGTTTATTTGGATCAAATTTTTTAATTGGCTCATGATAAATTTTCTTTTGTGTTTTATTTTAAGCTGAACCATCATACATTATTATTTTGTATTTTGTGTTTGAAAAAAAATACTAAATCTATAATGTCCTTCCTGATGTCTCAGCTACTGCTTCTGCAACTCTGCATGCACACTGTAAACGTGAAAATTTTGTAAATTTATGCTGAGCATTGAGGACCTTATTGAGCGTAGCATATATTAGATGTAATTTTTTAAATCTAACATGCGTTACTTAGAAGTAGATATACTTATCTTTCATAACACCATCTCGTTTCTTCGTTCAATTTTTTGTTTCAGATAAATTTGGCGCTATTCCCGCGTAAATATTTTTATGCTGAGTAGTTCCGGCAAATTATTTGACTGTTCGTAAAATCCAATTTTCCTCAAAACATATGGCTCTTTCTTTCGTAAATAATTTTATTTAGAATATTGCGAACACTTCTTTGCATAAATATTTCTTTATAAACTTTATTTAGAATAATGCAGACAGTTTTTTAAATAAAATAAATATTTCTTTATTAACTTTGTCATTTTTTACTTGAAAATTAAATGAAATTAAATTGTACTGTTGTAACAATGAAATATGTAGAGAAACGTTTTTCTTTATGTATTTTAGGTGGTGTATGTTTAATGTTTTTATTTGATGTGAGAATCTAAAACTCTATTTTACCTATAAACTAGTTTTTAAAGAAAGCAATTCAATATAGATGAATAAATAAGTTTTAGACGGCACTATTCAGGAATTTGTCGGGGGGGGGGGGGGATTTTATTTTATCATATTGACTTTTAAAGTCAACAGGTTTGTAATCAACATTATTTTTACCATTAACATTAACGAAAATGTGCAAAATCAACAATCTACACAGACATCCGACCTTATTGCCAGACCCCCAATCACAGATTCTAGTCCCCGGTATAATTGCATTAACTATTTTCACCGGGAACAGGTCTCTGCCCTGTTGGCTGGTGAATTTGGGAACAATGATTTATATTTTGAGCTGATCGTGTCTTGATAAAATCAAGTGATTGATGTTTTTAGCTAATTGCTGACTTAGGTCCTGATGGAATTATTTTATTTATATCATGTGATCATCGAATTGACACAACTACCAAGTTTAATAATTTGGATAATTTATTTGCAGCTTCAGGGATTATAATTAAGAAAAATGTTGTACCATTTCCCATTAATCCTGAGATAAAATATGAGTTATTTTACTAAACTATTTTTAAAATGTCAAAGACTAATTACCTAAATCCAGTTGAAGACAACCCGTCTGTCTATATGTCTTCCACTGATGGCAGACCATTTCTTGAAAAAGGGATCCACTAATATATCCAGTGCCAGGCCTCTCTCTAGGTACACAGTTTGGGTCATTTTACAGTCCTCCAGGAATTTCCTTAGCGCTTCTACTTTGTCCAATACATCATGTTCCTGTAGTATTTGATCCAGGACAGATGACAGCGGTCTTGATCCAACTTATCTGACGCTTCGTTTGTATGCCAGTCTTCTACAGTACAGTGCAATGTGGATCTCATTATTTTTCCCGTTTAAGCATAGGGCATAATAATTAGTTAGTAGAAAGCAGTTGAGGTGTCAACACCTCCTCTGTCTGAGAGAAAGCATGCAAAATGATTGCAGAATATATTCAGGACTAGGGCCACAACCCTTAAATAACCTTTTTATGTCAACAAGAATGGATTCACACCCTTTGCTAATGGAAGATGTCAAAGTCTACTACAGTCAACGAGTATGGGTTCAAACCCTTTGCTAATGGTAGATGTCAAAGTCTACTACAGTCAAGGAGTATGGGTTCAAACCCTTTGCTAATGCTAGATGTCAAAGTCTACTACAGTCAACGAGTACGTGTTCACACCCTTTGCTAATGGTAGATGTCAAAGTCTACTACAGTCAGGGAGTATGGGTTCAAACCCTTTGCTAATGCTAGATGTCAAAGTCTACTACAGTCAACGAGTATGGGTTCACACCCTTTGCTAATGATGAATGTCAAAGTCTACTAGAGTCAACGAGTATGGGTTCACACCCTTTGCTAATGGTAGATGTCAAAGTCTACTATTTATAAGTTTAATTAATGCATTCCTGAAAATGTTTTGATTAGTTGAGTGCTGACTAAGTATCTACTTGTAAATGCACAATGAATGTATATTCAGTTGAGATTTCAATATTTATACTTTGTTTCAACAAATACAATCAAACAAAATTATCAAACATTATATTTTTTAATTGGCTCATGATAAATTTTCTTTTGTGTTTTATTTTAAGCTGAACCATCATACATTATTATTTTGTATTTTGTGTTTGAAAATAAATACTATAACTATAATATCCTTCCTGATATCTCAGCTACTGCCTCTGCAACTCTGCATGCATCTGTTGCCTAGCCCTACATTCATGCATTTAAAGCGGATCATCACGTTGGAGTATCAACTAATGGCCAGGAAGTTTGTCGGTTTCCACCATCTTG